ATTGACAAGTTCTAACCCTATATATACTGCTATTTCAAAAAAGGTTGTCCACAAGCAAAGTGGAAAAGTCGAATACAAACGCGAAAGGATGAGATTAATAATTTTTTAGCGATTCACAGCAGCTTTTCACGTTTGTATTCAACTTTTCCGCTTTGCTCGGGGACAACCTTAATTGAAATAGCTGCATGCTTGATGCCACTGTACATTGCATAAGAAATATCACGATTTGGGGAAATATTACGATTTTGGGAAAATACACTCACGAAAGGTTTTGTAAATAGAAATCTTGATGTATAAAAATTCATCCTTGAAATTGCCATTCACAAAACCCCACGTAGAAACAAGCCTATATATTTAAAAAGGAGAAACCTTTCAACAGATTCCAAACTCTAAATATGTCACACATACTATACACATGAGAGTGTCACAATAGCATTCGACACGAGACAAACAAATTAACACTAATTTCACATTTGTCAAATTTTACTAAAACGACAACATTTGCCGCGATATTATACCTTAAAGACGATATAAAAAGTGCCCTTCCTTTTAGCCAATTCCGCAAACCGTCCAAGCGTTTAAAAACAAACATTTGGTCATAAATAATACAGAAAATATAGTTTTAAACACAACATTTCTGATATAAACAAAACATTTTATAAATTTATAAAAAGATGAAACATTTGCCCGCGAACAGGTGCAACCGAAAACAAGGTTGGGTTAGGGTTAGGCTAAAAAGTGGAATCTGGTATACTTTTAGCCACAGACCGCCGTGGCTAAAAAGTATACTAAAAGAAGAAATCTGCTATATTTTTTAGCCACAGACGGCCGTCGCTAAAAAGTATAGTCAAATCTAAGATGCTTTTTAGCCACAGAACATCGTGGCTAAAAGTATAGTGAAATCCAATATACTTCTGGCCACAGACCGCTGTGGCTAAAAGCAGGGACGCCGGAACTGGGGTAGCAGGGGCGGGGAGGTGGGGCGGCTGCCCCCCTTGCCTTTTGCTAGGGGGGGCATGGGGGGCAGAAGTGCCCTTTTAGTTGTAAAATACTACGCGATAAATCACATTTCCAGTGATGCTTTTTCTGAGAAAACCATGAGATTCAGATAATTTATAGGCCCAGAGAAAGTAAATTAACAAAAATAATTGTGAATTAGGTAAAGAATAAGTTTAATTTACAAAAAATTTAGAAAATTTTTTTAACTTAACTGAAAATTTTGGTATGTCTGGAAAAAATGTTTGACCTCTAAAATGGTACACTGACCGAAAATTTTTAGGCGAAAAGAGGGGGGGGGGGGTCGCCCTAAAAATTTCCATGAAAAAAAAATTTCCGGTAGATTTTCAACTTTAGCTCTATAGAGGTGTCCTAGGTGTGGGTCTGCCCCCCTTTGCCTTATTATCGTACCGGCGTCCCTGGCTAAAAGTATAGTGAAATCTAATATGCTTTTAGCCACATACCGCCGTGGATAAAAAGTATACTGAAATGTAATATGCTTTTAGCCACAGACCGCCGTTGCTAAAAAGTATACTGAAATGAGGTATGCTTTTTAGCCACAGACCGCTGTGGCTAAAAAGTATACTTTGAAATTCAGCTATACTTTTAGCCACAGACCGTCGTGGCTAAAAAGTATACTGAAATGAGGTATACTTTTTAGCCACAGACTGCCGTGGCTAAAAAGTATACTTAAAATTCAGCTACAGCGGTCTGTGGCTAAAAGTATAGTGCAGGGACGCCGGAACTGGGGGGGGCAGGTGGGGCGGCTGCCCCCCTTGCCTTTTGCTAGGGGGGCAGGGGGGGGGCAGAAGTGCCCTTTTAGTTATAAAAAAATACGTGATAAATCACATTTAGAACGATAGTTTTTGTACGAAAATTATGAGATTCAGACAATTTACAGTTTATATTTCACTTATGGTATGTCCGGAAAAAATTTTTGACCCCTAAAATGGTACACTGACCGAAATTTTTTTGGCGACGGGGGGGGGAAAGATTTTGAAGTTTTGCTTTAGAGACCGCCGTGGCTAAAAAGTATACTGAAATGTGGTATACTTTTTAGCCACAGACTGCTGTGGCTAAAAAGTATACTGAAATGTGGTATACTTTTTAGCCACAGACCGCCGTGGCTAAAAAGTATACTGAAATGTGGTATACTTTTTAGCCACAGACCGCCGTGGCTAAAAAGTATGATGAAATCTAGTATAGTTATTAGCCACAGACCACCGTGGCTGAAAGTATTGTGAAATTTGATATATATTTTAGCCACAGAACGGCCGTGGCTAAAAGGTATACTGAAATCTAGTATACTTTTTAGCCACAGACCGCTGTGGCTAAAAAGTATACTGAAATGTGGTATACTTTTTAGCCACAGACCGCCGTGGCTAAAAAGTATACTGAAATCTAGTATAGTTTTTAGCCACAGACCACCGTGGCTGAAAGTACTGCGAATTATGATATATATTTTAGCAACAAAACGGCCGTGGCTAAAAAGTATACAGAAATGTGGTATACTTTTTAGCCACAAAACACTGTGGCTAAAAAGTATACTGAAATTTGATATATATTTTAGCCACAGACCGCTGTGGCTAAAAAGTATACTGAAATGTGGTATACCTTAATTTTTAGCCACAGACTGCTGTGGCTAAAAAGTATACTCAAATGTGATATACTTTTTAGCCAGAGACCGCTGAAAAGGTGGTATACTTTTTAGCCACAGACCGCCGTGGCTAAAAAGTGTGATGAAATCTAGTATAGTTTTTAGCCACAGACCACCGTGGCTGAAAGTATAGTGAAATTTGAAATATACTTTTTAGCCACAGACCGCCGTGGCTAAAAAGTATACTGAAATGTGGTATACTTTTTAGCCACAGACCGCCGTGGCTAAAAAGTGTGATGAAATCTAGTATAGTTTTTAGCGACACACCACCGTGGCTGAAAGCATAGTGAAATTTGATATATATTTTAGCCACAGACCACCGCGGCTGAAAGTGTAGTGAAATTTGATATATATTTTAGCCACAGTACGGCCGTGGCTGAAAAGTATACTGAAATCTAGTATACTTTTTAGCCACAGACCGCTGTGGCTAAAAAGTATACTGAAATGTGGTATACTTTTTAGCCACAGACTGCTGTGGCTAAAAAGTATACTGAAATGTGGTATACTTTTTAGCCACAGACCGCTGTGGCTAAAAAGTATACTGAAATGTGGTATACTTTTTAGCCACAGACCGCTGTGGCTAAAAAGTATACTGAAATGTGGTATACTTTTTAGCCACAGACTGCCGTGGCTAAAAAGTATACTGAAATGTGGTATACTTTTTAGCCACAGACCGCTGTGGCTAAAAAGTATACTGAAATGTGGTATACTTTTTAGCCACAGATCGCCGTCGCTAAAAAGTATACCGAAATGTGGTATACTTTTTAGCCACAGACCGCTGTGGCTAAAAAGTATACTGGAAAGGTGGTATACTTTTTAGCCACAGACCGCCGTGGCTAAAAAGTATGATGAAATCTAGTATAGTTTTTAGCCACGGACTACCGTGGCTGAAAGTATAGTGAAATTTGATATATATTTTAGCCACAGTACGGCCGTGGCTACAAAGTATACTGAAATGTAGTATACTTTTTAGCCACAGACCGCTGTGGCTAAAAAGTATGCTGAAATGTGGTATACTTTTTAGCCACAGACTGCCGTGGCTAAAAAGTATACTGAAATGTGGTATACTTTTTAGCCACAGACCGCTGTGGCTAAAACGTATACTGAAATGTGGTATACTTTTTAGCCACAGACCGCCGTCGCTAAAAAGTATACTGAAATGTGGTATACTTTTTAGCCACAGACCGCTGTGGCTAAAAAGTATACTGGAAAGGTGGTATACTTTTTAGCCACAGACCGCCGTGGCTAAAAAGTATGATGAAATCTAGTATAGTTTTTAGCCACGGACTACCGTGGCTGAAAGTATAGTGAAATTTGATATATATTTTAGCCACAGTACGGCCGTGGCTACAAAGTATACTGAAATGTAGTATACTTTTTAGCCACAGACCGCTGTGGCTAAAAAGTATGCTGAAATGTGGTATACTTTTTAGCCACAGACTGCCGTGGCTAAAAAGTATACTGAAATGTGGTATACTTTTTAGCCACAGACCGCTGTGGCTAAAACGTATACTGAAATGTGGTATACTTTTTAGCCACAGACCGCCGTCGCTAAAAAGTATACTGAAATGTGGTATACTTTTTAGCCACAGACCGCTGTGGCTAAAAAGTATACTGGAAAGGTGGTATACTTTTTAGCCACAGACCGCCGTGGCTAAAAAGTATGATGAAATCTAGTATAGTTTTTAGCCACAGACTACCGTGGCTGAAAGTATAGTGAAATTTGATATATATTTTAGCCACAGTACGGCCGTGGTTACAAAGTATACTGAAATGTAGTATACTTTTTAGCCACAGACTGCTGTGGCTAAAAAGTACACTGAAATGTGGTATACTTTTTAGCCACAGACCGCCGTGGCTAAAAAGTATACTGAAATGTGGTATACTTTTTAGCCACAGACTGCTGTGGCTAAAAAGTACACTGAAATGTGGTATACTTTTTAGCCACAGACCGCCGTGGCTAAAAAGTATACTGAAATGTGGTATACTTTTTAGCCACAGACTGCCGTGGCTAAAAAGTATACTGAAATGTGGTATACTTTTTAGCCACAGACTGTATTTTATTAAATGTTTTTCTTTGAGTCACAATTTTTTATCAATAGTGTGTTCAATAAGTTCAGCAGTTAGTTTGTATGTACTTCCTTCAGTAAAATTCATATTAATTTTTCCATTTTTGTTCATTATTAGGGAAAGATTTATGAAACCATGCATTAGGTTTTTAGATACCCCCCCCCCCCCATCCCCCATCCCCCCAGCATTAATGCCTATGCCGAGCGTGTGGCGTGGACCGGTTCAGTTCTCTTCTTCGTTTCTAATTAGTTCCACCCGAGAAATCACCGAATCGAACTGACAAGGCAAATACCTTTGGGGAACATAGTAAGCAGCATGTGGTCGTGTCATATTTACATGTTGTATTATATTACATGAAAGTCTATTTTACACTCTATGCTGATGGCTTAGAATATTTTGCATTGCAAAGCTAGACGTTGTAGCTGACATGTCACATTCAAGCAAAAAGGTCGGTATTTGGTTTGTACTGTACCGATATACATTTACCGTAAGCATTTAAGATTTGACGGTATATTACCGGTTTGTATCTAGCATGCAAATTTGATGCGCTGTGTTGGATGAGTGATTTGGCCTATGTTTGCAATTGCAATTGTGTCGCGTCGGGTATTCGCTAGCTTGCTGGGAAATACAAGGAAATAGGCCGAATATACGACTTTGCGAGTTCATCTTGCGACAGGGGGATTTTACGACTATGTTATCCTAGGCGAGCTATGGCTTGATTCACAACTAAGTTGCAATCAGGTTGCATGCACAGTTTTAGGCAAAAGTTGTTAGTGCAAACCGCATTTCGGCTCTAATAAATACCGTTAATCAGCCATGTGCAGCCAGCCTTGCAAAATTTATTCAACTGATCCGCGGACACTGTTCAACAATATGCAAAACCATGATCTGAATGTTAAGGGGGTGGGGGTGGAGAGGGGTATACAAATCCGCCGATCCGCCCAAATTTGAAGCAAAATCCGCGATCCGACAATGGTCGTGTGTAAATTTGAATCCGCTAAAAGCTCTACTATGAAGTCACCATCCAGGATCCGAAGTAAATTGAAAGCTAAATCCAAAATCCGTCCAAAATATTACATAAATCCGCAATCCGCTGGATTAATAGGATCCGCAAATCTGTGTAAAATATTCGCCTGCAGATCGCAGCTTGGCCAGATCCGAAATCTAAGAAATTTTTTGCGAAATCCGACGATCCCGTAAACCTTTTCACCCCCCCGCCGTTAAATAGAGATTTTCATTCAGTATATGTTCTTTAATTTTAAGACGATCTTAGAACGATTGGATGCAGGGGAAATCTTGATTGGTGATGGCGGTTATCTTTTTGAAATGGAACGACGTGGTTATGTTGCAGCTGGTGTGTGGACACCTGATGTTAATGTCGAGCATCCTCATGCTGGTATGTCTGTCTGTAATTACCATTATCACCATCATCTTTACCACCATCATGACAACATCATCAGTCTGTCACCATTGTTATTGTTATCATGATTATCATAATCTAATCATCACCATCATCTCATCTTCATCACTATCACCTTAACCATGATTATCACAATCATCACCATCAACATCACCATCATCATCACCACCATCATCATCATCACCATCACCATCATCATCATCACATCATCATCATCTTCATCATTATCATTATCATCATCATCACCATCATCATCATCGTCATCATCATTATCATTATCATCATCATCATCATCATCATCATTATCACCATCATCATCATCATCATTATCATCAGCATCATCATCATCAGCATCATCATCATCATCATCATCATCATCATCATCACCATCATGACCATCATCATTATCACCACCACCATCACATCACTATTATCATCATCATCACCACCATCATGATCATCATCATCACCACCATCATTACCGTCACCACTAACAAAGATTTCACTCTTACGTTTAAGTGGAAGGTTTACATCAAGAGTTTGCCAGGGCAGGATCTAACGTCCTCCAGGCATTTGCATACCACGCTGTATGGGTAAGTATAAAGTGGCAGCATTTATTACCCCTAACCTGGAACAGTTGCGAATAATGCAACTATAGACTTGCGGGCCTGCTATTCCGTCATCACACTGGATCAATAAGAGATGGCTTTCTTGGACCTTTAGGAAAAACAGTTTAGAACTGATAGAGCTATCCAGTATAAATAAAGCTAGTTTAGTTCAGGTTTCCTCCTGTAGTAACATTGGATCAATAAGAGATGATTCTTACTGGACTTCTAGGAAAAACAGTTTAGAACTGATAGAGCTATCCAGTATAAATAAAGTTAGTTTAGTTCAGGTTTCCTCCTGCAGTAACATTGGATCAATAAGAGATGATTCTTACTGGACCTCTAGGAAAAACAGTTTAGAACTGATAGAGCTATCCAGTATAAATAAAGTTAGTTTAGTTTAGGTTTCCTGCTGTAGTAACACTGGATCAATAAGAGATGGCTTTCTTGGACCTTTAGGAAAAACAGTTTAGAACTGATAGAGCTATCCAGTATAAATAAAGTTAGTTTAGTTCAGGTTTCCTCCTGTAGTAACATTGGATCAATAAGAAATGACTCTTACTGGACGTCTAGGAAAAACGGTTTAGAACTGATAGAGCTATCCAGTATAAATAAAGTTAGTTTAGCTTAGGTTTCCTCCTGTAGTAACACTGCATCAAGAAGAGATAACCCTTACTGGATCTCTAGGAAGAACAGTTTCGAACTGATTGAGCTATCCAGTTTATATAAATGAAGTTAGTTTAGTTTATGTTTCCTCCTGTAGTAACACTCGGTCAATAAGAAATGAATCTTACTGGACTTTTAGGAATAACATTTCAGAACTGATAAAGCTATCCAGTTTAGGTTCCCTCCTGTAGTAACACAAGCCTTTACTGAGGATTACTGTTTATTTAGTCTCGAACGGAAGGCCGAAATGAAATCAATGAATCCGCATGTAGAATCGTGAAGAAAGTTGCTGCACAATACAACTGCCTTTGGGCTGGGGGATTGTCTCCCACGCGCATTTACGGACAAGGAGGATCGAAAAAAGACGTGCAAGAATATTTTAAAGGACAAGCCGAAATCTTTGTGAGACATGACTGTGATTTTTTAATTGCTGAGGTGGGTGAATTCGTATATTTAGGTTTTAGCGTATATTGTGGGCATCAACAATTTAATCTAAGAAATAAATTTCGACACTGAGAGACACAATGGATCAATAAGAGATGACTCTACTGGACCTGTAGGAAGAACAGTTTAGAACTGATAGAGCTATCCAGTATAAATAAAGTTAGTTTAGTTTAGGTTTCCTCCTGTGGTAACACTGGATGGATAAGAGATAATCCTTACAGGACCTCTAGGAAGAACAGTTATTAGAATTGACAAAGCTATCCAGTATAAAGAAAGTTTGTTTAGCTAGTAAGAGATCGACTTGACTGTACGTATTGCGAGTTCTTTTTGCGTTTTAGCAAATTTTTGTTTATTCTTAGTATTTTCATAGTTCCGAAGAAGCAGGATGGGCGGTTGAGGTCTTAAAAGAAACAGGAAAGCCTGTGTTGGCCAGTCTCTGTATCACATCTCAGGGCGATTTTAAAGGAGTCCCTACTGATGAATGTGCTGTACGATTAGTCAAAGCTGGTACGTAAGATGAGTGCATTACAGCATGTTAATTACATTTATCAGCATCATATAGCAACCACCATCATCGTAACCATTAATAAACATTGACAACCACTGTGGCTCCCGCCATTTCAGGTGCAGATGTGATTGGCGTAAACTGCAAGTTCGACCCGCAAGAATCATTAAAAGCTGTCGCTAAGATGAAAGAAGGTTTAGAGAAAGCAGGACTCAAAGCTCATCTGATGTTTCAACCACTGGGATTCCACTGTCCTGATGCTGACAATAAACACGGTTATCTTGCACTTCCTGAGAATCCATTTGGTAAGATCAGGTCCAGTGCTTCGTTACAAGTAACTAATTTACATGTAATCGTTACATTTGTGAGCTGTAGCTGGTAGCTGTAAAAAGACTCGGTCAAAGTCGTGGGTTTTCTTTGGGTACTCATTGTTGGGATAATTACCGGATTAGCTCCGTGATCAGAGGTTTCTGGTAGCCAACTTAAAAATTGCAGTTGAATTTTTACATGTAGCTGACATTTTCTAAAACTAAGCATTTCCAATCCTTACAATCCAAATGCTGCATTGTATGCTAAATCTAATCCTGTTTCTTTATTAAACATAGCCCTTGAACCGAGACAGTTGACAAGGTGGGATGTCCATAAACTGACAAGGAGTGCCTACGATTTGGGAGTGCGATATTTTGGTGGCTGTTGCGGCTTTAAAGCGTATCATATTCGAGCAATCTCTGAAGAGGTGGGCGGTGTATTAAAATATTACCACTAATATTATTATCATCATCATCACCACAATAATCACCACCGCTAATACGACCATCATTATCATCACCACCATCATCATCATCATCATCATCATCATCATCATATGCAGCACCATCATCAGGATCATCTCCACCATCATCATCATCATCATCATCATCATCATCATCATCATCATCATCATCATCATATGCAGCACCATCATCACGATCATCTTCACCGTTATCATCATCATCATCAGTTTTACGCAATATTTCTTTTATTTATTATAGCTTGAAAAAGAACGAGGTGCCAAAGCAGAAAGCAGTGATAAACACCAACCTTTTAAACCGATGTACTCTTCGACATTTGGCCACATGTAAGTTAGGCTTCAAGAACAGTTTTATGTGACCCAAATATCTTTTCTTTGTTAACCCTAGGGATGCCTGTTATCCCCTCTTTGAATTTGACTAAAATTTTCGAAACACGTTTTTACAGTGTATCAGTCGAAAGTTTGTTTTGATGAAATTAATGGTTTTCGACAGTTTTCAGAAAGTTTGGAATGCGTTGAGGCATTTTTTTTGAAATTTTAACAAAATGCCATAGCCCCTTCTTTCCATTTGTGAATCCTCTTCCAAGCATACTCATCATTGAAATCTCAAAATTCAATTTTCAGGGAGCGAAATGAAGAATATTGGATGAATATGAAGCCAGCGTCAGGACGGCCATTTTCTCCCTCGTACAGTAAGCCAGTGAAAAGCACATTAAATCCATGAGTTTGTGGAATATAACATTTAAATAACCTCGGCTGGTAGTCGTGCTGTATTGTATTACTGTATAATTGTATTAAAGAATAGCTGCTATAAGTACATGTACACTATGAATTAGCCAAAGTCCACCATTTTGGGGGTACTGTCTGCTCTCTTAAAAGATTCTAGACAATTAAAACAACGTGAAAAGCGACTTTTAAAAGTTGTAACTGTAAATTTGCCATTATACAAACAAACAATAACTATACTAAAACGTTGTATTTCGTGGTGCGGAGACTCTCAAACGTGAGAGAAGCAGTACCCCCAAAATGGCGGAAAATTGGCCAAGAGAGAAGCCAATTATCTGTTACAATTTATATATTAGTTATGTGTCTTTTGTATCCAAGAGCCCACAGTAATTGGTTTTAAGCTGTTGTGGTGTAACCGCCTTTTTGTTGTTGTTAATTTTCTGTTCAACCTTGAAACGTGGGAATTAAGCTTGGCGCATTTGCTGTGTTTTGATATGTTTTGTGCAAGCGCCGCATTTTGTATGCTCAGGAATGTGCCAAAATCCTGTAATATGTTCATGAACATGGCTATGGGCATACAGTATGATAGATCTAGTGAGTCTGTGACCGTGCTTATGAGATACCGAATTTTAGGGCGCTTTCCATTAACACAGCCAAACCGGTCAGAACGGTCAAATTGTTGAATGAAACACAAAACATTTGGGCTTCGTCCCTATCTGACCGGAAAATTTTGATAACATTAGAATGAGGTCCATTTTCGCTAGACATTTGAGAAACATAGACCAGATCTTTCCATTGATACAGAGAAAAACATTCGGGTCTGACCAGTCAGGCCATTAAATGGAAAGCGCCGCTGGTATGATCGGCATGAGCACGCCCATATATCTGCCAAAATTCTGCAATATGAGGGTCCTGAAGGGGTAAAATGGGAACTGGGATTGATCTATTTTTAGACTGGGAAAATGGGATTTGGGTTGCTGGGACTGGGATTTGGCCACTGGGAATGGGAAATAAAGTCCTCAAAAATGGGAATGGGATTGAAGTAATGTGAGTCGATTCCCAATTTTTCTGCGTTTTGAGAGTATTTTAAAATACAATTTTGATCCGTTTTTGGTGTCTTTGGTCATGATTTTTGTTGTTAACTATATTATTCACAGCACTACCTGCGAACAGGCATACTCTGGCACCCGGAATTCTGGGTTCTATGATTATGCGTGTCTCAGAATGCTGCAAATGCCATTTCAGGGATTCAAATTTAAAAATTTTCCGTGCCTTCGGCACGAGCCCCCCTCTAATATTTCATAAAGTGTCCGCCACTTGCTTAAAAGGTCTTAAAACTGTTTAATCTACCGATAAATAAAGGGGTTTTTACTGACTGGGATTTCAATAACTGGGACTGGGATTTGTAATAAAAATCCAACTGGGACCCTTCAGGACCCTCCAATATGTTCACGAGCTTGATTAATTGGAGCGTGTTTAAGCCTGCAGCACACGAGAGCTATCTGCTGAGCCAAAAGTTACTCGTGTCTGGATAGCTCAAGGCCCTGTCACACTATTGCGTATGAGAGAAACGTATGAGAAGCGTATGAAAATTAGTGAAATAATTTTCATATGCACAAAAATCCTTTGAAATGCCAGCGTATGAGTACAGTACATCTGGTGTACCTCTAGCGTTTCAGCGTGTGCCTAGAGTATGCTTATCCTATAAAGCATACGTCCGATACGCACAAAATATTTGAGCATGCTTAAAAAAAATGTTCTGCCTCGCCGTATGCCAGCGTATGCCACCGTACGCGACCGTGCTTGAAACGTATACAACCTTTGCCTAACGTACCCCTAGCGTATGTCAGCGTATACCGGCGTATGAGTGATATTTTTCATAAGCCTGATTTCCACTAGGCGGAATTTTGCGCGCGGAGCGGAATTTTTCTTTGTCTTGTGATTTCTCAGGTGGAACTAATTAGAAAAGACAAAGAAAATTTTCGCTGCGCGCGCAAAATTCCGCCTAGTGGAAATCAGGCTATACGCTGGCATACGCTAGTACGATACGCAATAGTGTGATAGGGAGAAAAGAAAACCTTTTCACGCGAGAAAAGGTTGCATGAGGCATAAAACTCAGTAAAATGTACCCGCACACGGTGAGCTATCGGCTGAGCTAACAGGCACGAGAAACTTTTTGCTCAGCAGATAGCTCTCGTGTGCTGCAGGCTTTATGAGATACCGGATTTTGATATGCTCGTAAGCACGCGCATATATGCGCCAAAATGCTGTAATATGCTCATGAGCGGGCTTATGGGCCAGTGCATGACGTTTGTGTGTCTATCCAGGTGAACTCGTGTTCGTATTTTAGCCAATCAGCGCTCAGAAAGGGTTGTCCGAATAGAAATCCATTTTGATGTATTCAGTCAATTATATCTTTTGTTATTCTTTATGAAACTAGTTGAAATTTTGTAATTATGTTTGGTTATAAGAACTATAGCTCTGACAAAAATATGGAATCGAAATAAAGTATATTACAGGAGATATTCAGTTGTTTTAATCATAAAATGGATTTCTATTTGACAACTAGTGCCAGTACTTTTCCGCGTATCAAGATCATCTGGATGAGGGTCATCATCATCCAGAATCATTCAATATCATTTAGTATCATTCAACATCATTCAGTATCATTCAATATCATTTATTATCACTCAGTATAATTCAGTATCATTTCCTATCATTCAACATCGTTCAATATCATTCGGTATCATTCAACACCATTCAACATCATTGAACATCATTCAGTATCCTTGAACATCCTTCAGCATCATTCCCTATCATTCGCTATCATTGAACATCACCGAAATCGAAAATTCCGAAATATTTTCTAATCAAATATGGCCGACATTCCTTGTCGAAAATTAAAATGGCTTTCTGTGGCTTAGCAGGTAATTTAGAAAATAATCACAACAATATATGCATGTTAAAGTCTGTTGCCATAGCGCTTTTATATGCTCGCTTTTGTTTATGCGTGCTAAAAAGTAATCAAAAAATATCTGCTTTGCTAAGGGGCGAATGCATGTTGAATTTTTTTATGTTGCCAGTGTATATTATTTGAAAAGTAGGTAATTTTACTAATTTTTGTATCAGTTATTATCGAAATCGTGCTGGGTTTTTGGGCTTTGATGTTGTATGTTTATAATATTTAGATGTATAAAGACTTGGTTACAAATTCCGCTCTTAAATGTTGTGCAAATATATATTTAAAAATAATCGGTTGTATATGTGCTTGTGAGACCGATTACTGTCACTTACTCACTTGTAAGTTTAATCTTTGATTGAAAATGGTCTGTGATGTTGACATTATTCACTTGACGTAAAATAAGGCTTTTAAACTGAGTTTAATGGAAGACAATTTGATTTGTTACATTTGTTGCAATTTAAAGCTGCTTTAAATTGTCAAGTGATCTTTTGGTAGTACATGTTGCTGTTGTGGTTTGTGTCTGAACTACCTTGAAAAAGATATCTCAAATGTGGTGGTCCAGTGTAGGTAGTATTCTACAATAAGCTGTTGTGGTTTGTGTCTGAACTACCTGAAAAAGATATCTCAAATGTGGTGGTCCAGTGTAGGTAGTATTCTACAATAAGCTGTTGTGGTTTGTGTGTGAACTACCTGAAAAAGATATCTCAAACGTGGTGGTCCAGTGTAGGTAGTATTCTACAATAAGCTGTTGTGGTTTGTGTCTGAACTACCTGAAAAAGATATCTCAAATGTGGTGGTCCAGTGTAGGTAGTATTCTACAATAAGCTGTTGTGGTTTGTGTGTGAACTACCTGAAAAAGATATCTCAAACGTGGTGGTCCAGTGTAGGTAGTATTCTACAATAAGCTGTCGTGGTTTGTGTCTGAACTACCTGAAAAAGATATCTCAAATGTGGTGGTCCAGTGTAGGTAGTATTTTACAATAAGCTGTCGTGGTTTGTGTCTGAACTACCTGAAAAAGATATCTCAAACGTGGTGGTCCAGTGTAGGTAGTATTTTACAATAAGCTGTCGTGGTTTGTGTCTGAACTACCTGAAAAAGATTTCTCAAATGTGGTGGTCCAGTGTAGGTAGTATTTTATAATAAGCTGTCGTGGTTTGTGTCTGAACTACCTGAAAAAGATTTCTCAAATGTGGTGGTCCAGTGTAGGTAGTATTCTACAATAATCTGTCGTGGTTTGTGTCTAAACTACCTGAAAACGATATCTCAAGCTTCCCCATTGACGAGTAAAATTGTCTAGCGTTAGACAAGTAAAAAAAAAGTAAGGCACACTTTGGCGCATTGCAGCTCAATGGGTTAACAAGAGACATTGTCAGATATTTGTTTGTTAACCCATTAAGCTGCAGAGCTTCCCCATTGACAAGTAAAATCATCTGGGGTGCTTTGTGGCTTAATGGGTTAAATTGATATCAATTTATTGCCATGTTAATTTTATTTTGTTAATTTTATTTTGTTAATTTTATTTTTTTTCCATAGCCAAAGGGCTGTATGGGTTGTGGATCGTCAAAGAGACCTGCAGTCTTAACTTCACTTCCTAATTCCACTCCACATAAACGACTGTCGCCCACGCCGTCTGTTGAAGCCAATAACAATCACCCAGAACCCCCTGTCCCACAAGAGCAGAAGCCGGAGACTGCCACCTCAGATCTCAACGACCTTGAAATCTCTTTTGAAAAAGCAGCTTCCCTTCGTCTCAACACACCGTCACAAATGTGGGCAGCCGTGAGGAAAACTTGTTCTCCAAACAAAAAATGGACGATCGAGAAAAATAAGAGCAGACGAGGATGGAAGACGATTCGTCTGTTTGTCTCGTCGACTTTTAAGGATTTTCATGTTGAAAGAGAAGTTTTAGTTAAAGAAGTAAGTTTGGATTGGCTGTACAATGTGATTCCATTGTCTGATTATAGTTTCCAAATTCCCTTCATTTGAATGTGACGGCTCTACTAGATACTAAAGACAGCAGCTTTGTTTAAAGTGATCTGGATTTGTCCTACAGCATCTGTGGGATGGCATTAATGGGCATCTGTGGAGAAAATTTTAGAACTGATAGAGCTATCCAGTACAAATAAAGTTAGTTTAGTTTAGGTTTCCTTCTGTAGTAACACTGAATCAATAAGAGATGATTCTTACTGGACCTCTAGGAAGAACAGTTTAGAACTGATAGAGCTATCCAGTATAAATAAAGTTAGTTTAGTTTAGGTTTCCTCCTGTAGTAACACTGGATCAATAAGAGATGATTCTTACTGGACCTCTAGGAAGAACAGTTTAGAACTGATAGAGCTATCCAGTATAAATAAAGTTAGTTTAGTTTAGGTTTCCTCCTGTTGCAAGGGAAGGCTTTCACTGGGCATTTTTAGAAAGAGCAGTTTTACTGATGGATCTATCCAGTATATTTGAGTTATAATCATCATTCTTCATCAATTTTAATCTCCGACAATCTTCCTAAAGGTATTTCCTGATCTTCGATTGTGGTGTGAACAGCGCAAGCTTCATTTGGTCGAGTGTGATTTGAGATGGGTATGTATAACTCTTAAGCCCATATATTACTGACAGTTAGCAATAGAATGTATTTTGGACCAATTTCATGACTGCATATTAACCCATTGAGTGGCAGCTCTCTTCTCCTGATGAGTAAAATCGTCTGGTGTTAGATAGAGTAAAATAATAAAGTAGGGCACATCTGAGCGCATTGCCACTTAAAGGGTTAAGAAAGATGCATTTGGTTAAAATTTCTTGTTGTATTAACCCATTGAGAATGAGCATACAGTAAATGCTGACGAGTTTTTGTCTGCTTACAGGGTGTTCCTAAAGATTCCACATCAGAAGAAACGATCAGGATTTGTTTAGAAGTGCTTGATCGATGTCATGAGGAGAATGTCTTACCTTACTTTTTAAATTTAACTTGGTAAGTATGACAAGTTTGAGATATATTTTTCAGGTAGTTCAGATACAAACCACGACAGCTTATTGTAGAATACTACCTACACTGAACCACCACATTTGAGATATCTTTTTCAGGTAGTTCACACAGAAACCACGACAGCTTATTGTAGACTACTACCTACACTGGACCACCACGTTTGAGATATCTTTTTCAGGTAGTTCAGACACAAACCACGACAGCTTTTTGTAGACTGGACCACCGCGTTTGAGATACTAAAATTTTTGTCTGTTTGCCTGTTTGATAGTGAGCGTGCAGGTTGGATTCCAACATTTGGAGATCTTACTTACAATCTTGCTGCTCAATATGGATGGATCTATGGTCTGTCCGTAACAGAAATGGAGATTGTTCATGGAGCATACAGAAAATGTAATCCAAACGGTAAGCTTATTGTGCCGGAACGTGATATCAGGCATTTAGCGAAGCAACTATCAAACCGTCAAGTGAATCGAACCGTCAAGTGAATGGGCACTTTCAATACATAGCCATGCATCATCTTTGGAAGAAAATGTTTTCTTTAAACAACAATTTGCAAGCTTTGTAATATTTCTTGAATTCCTCAAAAGTTGTCAGCTGCTGTTTACTTTGTTTACACTCTAAAAGCCACCTGGGCTTTCATGATTGTTTTAAGAAAGTAACTGCAGGAATATTTTTACCAAGTCTAAGAAATATTTTATGATAGTATTAGAATTGTCATCTTTTGTGTACAGTTTTGTCCTGGTCAATGACAATGGACCAATTACCTAATGAACAAAATTTTGATCAAGACAAGTCTAGACCAGAATTTTATCACGGCTTGAAAGAGCATCACAAAATTAGTAATATTCCGAAGTTTCGTTGTTGTAAAATGCGGATAATATAGCCTTGCGAAGTTTGCTGTTTTTCAGTCATTTTGTATTATGGCACAGGGGGATTGATACCTTTTTTCAGAAATAATAATACAAAATGACTGAAAACTTCGCAGGGCTATATTTAGCAGGGGAATATTACCATAAATTTTGTGATGCTCTTTCAAGCTGTGATGAAATTTTTGTCTAGACCTGTCTAGATCAAAATTTTGTTCATTGGGTAATAGGTCCATTGGCTGAGCGAATTAAGCTTAGCTGTGGTGCACTTTAAGTTCTTGTCAAAGGTAGACTTTCGCTGCTTGCGACTTCGTTGTTCCTCGCGTTTATACGAGGTTGACTTGTAGCAAGCCTAGTCAAAGGGATATATTGAGAAGTTATTGAGAATTAGGCATCAATAGGGTAAATGCAGATTGGAATGAGCAGAGAAATATGCAATAAACACTTCTTCATGGCATTTGGTAGTTGTAGCTAGTTCTTGGTTTTGGACAATAGTTAAATTATTTTGCAAATTTGACTGAATATGGCCGGAAACCATGGCAGATAAATAATCAGAGGGTCTGGTTATGTATATTTAGCTACTATAGCAAGAAGAACGTTCGAATTCAGGCCTTAATCAGACAACATTTTGTCTTTAGCTCTGTTTTTAATCCGTGATGGTGACTTCGCGTCGAAACTACCAGAAAGTTTAAAAGATGCGTTTGTTGACCCAGATTCGTTCGCGCAGCAGAAACTTGTCAAACTTAAACAAGTTATCTGTGAACAGTTCCCGGTAAGGATTGCTTGTCTTCCTAGAGGCTTTTAAAGGAATCGAATTTCGTAATTGTGTCATGGGCCCGTTTACGCTAGACCGAAATAGGAATTGTTGAATGCACCGTAGTAACACTGGATCAATAAGAGATGATCCTTACTGGACCTCTAGGGAGATCAGTTTAGAACTGATAGAGCTATCCAGTATAAATAAAGTTAGTTTAGTTTAGGTTTCCTCCTGTAGTAACACTGGATCAATAAGAGATGATTCTTACTGGACCTCTAGGAAGAACACTTTAGAACTGATAGAACTATCCGGTATAAATAAAGTTAGTTTAGGTTTCCTCCTGTAGTAACACTGGATCAATAAGAGATGATCCTTACTGGACCTCTAGGGAGAACAGTTTAGAACTGATAGAACTATCCAGGTTAGTTTAGTTTAGGTTTCCTCCTGTAGTAACACTGGACCTATATAGGAAGAATAGTTTAATTAGAACTGATAGTGCTTTCCAGTACAGTATAAGTAAAGCTAGTAGTTAAATTTAGTGTGCGGACGTTTAGGATTTTATATTATTCTTTGAAAGGAACCGAACATCCATCATTATAATGTTGAATGCAATAGTGAACAAGGAATCTTTCTTTTACAAAACAGTAAGTTGATTTGAAGTACAAAATATGCAGGATGCGAAGATTTTAATATTTTAGTCGTACCTGACTGGTAGTCGAATGATTTTTGCCACGTACTTGAGCTGGTATACAAAGACTCAAGGTGTACGTTGTCTTTAGATTGAAGTACATAATGCACAGGTGTCTGAAAGGGATTCATTCAGTAACGTGAAACTAGTATAGCGTTATAGATCAAGGAGTACACAATCGATGATTCCAGCTATATATAGACGAAATTTTGATCTGGGCAAGAAGAACGAAAACCATTACCATAGCTGGAAAGAGCATTTTGAACGATGGTTTTTAAGGCGCATTTGAGCCCTTTTAATTGAAAAAATTAACTAGGAAAACAATTAAGCATAATTCAAACACTCATTAATAATTCATAAGCTTATAGGCAAATCATGTCAACTATAATATGTCACGTGCAGAGGCTTTAAACCTGATAAAACACTCCTAATTAGTATTCTTTAAATAAAGAATACTAATAATGCAGTATCTATTGTTGTCGTGTCCTCATTAGTATTTTTTTATATAAAGAATACTAATAAGGCGGTATATCTATTGAATTTGTATAGTCGTGTTTGAAGCCGTTTAATAAACTCGCAGGTCGTGTTATATGTCCATAATATACATCTGCATTTGCCTTATACTTTACATAACTACCATTTATTATTTAACTTGTTTTTTTAGTCATTTCTTGATATCAGGTCGCAATGTGTTCTGGGAAGGGACAACGTCCTCGCCAAGGTAATACGTACTGTAATACTGGTTACAAACTGCAGTTACAAAACAACATGCATATATGCAGGGCGAGAGATCGCAGACATCATGATTCT